CTGCTTTAGCTTATTACTATTGGAGTCCGTAATATAAATCACCTTGCTTGAGCTCAGACGCCTAGGAGTAGATGGTGTTGCTGTTTGACCTATTAGAATTTAACATACATTTACAGTAATCAGCCGTTGCATAAACTCTATACAAAAAACAGCTACCAAATAAATTAAAAATAAATGTACGTCTAAGGCCAAGGAAAGTGAATCCTAGCCACCAAAAGACTAAAATAACTATTATAATTACTAAACTTATGTATAGCAGGCTGGTTTTAATACCAAAAGGTTTCTTATAAGAAACAATGCTGTGTTGATGTATCACATCCATATATATTTCCAATATTATATATTCTAGTCCATGAAATTTTATGTAGATTTTGGCTGCCATCCTTGGTGGTGTTAATCATTTCAAAAGTGTGATTTATTCTCACACTATATTTTTGGATTTTTCTAGGAGTTTTTTTTTGTCACCCACTTATCTTCAGTTTTTTATGCTTTAAAAAAGCAGACAAGTAATGTCTTGTTTCTCTTTTTCGAAGAATTTCTTTAGTGCCTGTATATACATATTACTTGCTACAGCGTTTTGCATCTAGTCAATTCCCTTCTGTCATTTTCTTACAATTATGTTTATGTTTTGGTTCCAGGGTTTTAACAATGCATCGGTACAAGCATCGACACAAGCAACTTTCCCGTATTTTTTTGCTGTCAGCAAATATCTTCAGGTTTTTGTGATATGATGGTCTTCTACATTGAAATTAAATTTATTGTTTTCTAGATTATTGCTCTGTTGTCTGTGTTTTTAAACTGAAAGTATAAGAATGCATAAATGGCTAAAAAGACATTGCTTCTCTTTGTACAGCCTGGAAATTTTGATCTTGTTGGAACCATTATTTATGAAATAGATCAGCATCCATATCAAAGTACCTTCTTCAATGGTACCATTGAAGTTGTTGAAGCTGGTGGTTTTCTCAGCACTGAATCTGTATTCCTAGTTACCCTTGGAGCTGCACTTATCGTTCTATTTGGTTTGTGGATTCATGGTCAAATACAGAATCTTTCCAAGGTACACAAGCTAAAACTGAAATTTTGGATGAATTGTTTTACTTTCAGGGAGAAAATGTTAAATATCTGTGCCATGAAGATTCATAACTATCATGCCTGTGGGTGAATTATGTTTAACGAAAAAAATAATAATAATAATAATAATAAAAAAACTATCTAATGTGTTCAGTAAATCTGCTAAATCATAGGTTGGTTTGGTAATTTCCTTGGCTCAGGGGTCGATTTCTTATAATTTTTTTTTTGTATTGTTTTAATCAATGAAATCTTTCTTAGTTTCCTATCAAAAGATAAAATAGAATAAAAATTGTATGTTTATTTTCTCACAGATACATTTTGCACAGTATGGACTTTTGTTTTGATTTGGTTTTTTAGAGAAAAAAAAAATAACACTTGTACTAAATATGATTGCAAAAGTTTTCATTGGGAAAAAAAATTGTATTTGTTTCATGAAATGTACAAAGTAATTTTTGAGAAGGAACAGTGACTTTACTACAAAAGAGCATTGTCTCACACTGTTAGTTGCTTTCTTCTACAGCTAAACTGGACGTGATTCTTGTACTTATGGGTTTTAATTTGTTTTAGTTCCTTGATTAATTGTAATTTTTCTTTTTTTAAAAAAACTTATTCTTGCTGATTGGAAAATATTTTTGCAATTTAGTTGGGTATTGAATGTTTTTGGTGATGCATTTAACTTCCCGCATATATCCTTGAACCCCCCAATCATTCTTATAATACTTTTTATTTTATTTTATTAGAAAACAAAGAGGGCTCCTAAGGTTGAAGTTGGAACCAGGGCCTCAGATGCATCATTAGACGAATGGCTCGAGGTAAGTTCATTGACCTGTAATTAAATTTGAAGTCGTTTGGTTTCGCCCCCCTTGCTGACTTTGACTGATATTAATCTTATCTTTGGTAATACAGGGTACTGCATATTCTCAATCATCGTCAAACAAATCAAAGAAAAAGAAGTAGATCGCACTTGTTTTCTGCCTTCACTTTTCCTTGCTGACACATACCAGATACGCAGTCTCTTGTTAACTCACACTTCCGGCATTTGAATTGTTTAAGAGACACAGCATGATATCAGTTTTGGAAAAATAGGCCAGTTTAGACTTTTGGAAAAGTTGAGTTATTTCAAATTTGAACTGATGCAGATACGTATAGAAACAATAGAGATCTTTTAATTTAATCCAAAATTTTGAGCGTTTACCTTTTGTTGTTGAAGTTACTTTTTTATGGATAAATTTTCTTCTTGATAGGTCTAAGCCCCTTCTATATGTACCACTTGTGTAGAGTTAAGTGTTAATAGAAACAAACACCAGCGAGATGCACATGAAGCTGTTGCTTTCTAGCATGTAGATAGATGTTAGGTCAACTGACTATCAATGTCGTGATATTCTTCAATTGGACTCCCCCTCTTGATTGCATATCCTTTCAATCATCCTTCTTTAATTGACTAACTCGAAATGCCTAAAGGGTAGCATGTGGGATTTGACCTTTGCTGCTTCATCCCTCTGTTCCATGTGTTACTTTTAATTGCCTGAGCTGTCAAATCACATGAAACCAGTTAGCAGTTAAGTGGGACACTTTTGGATTCCCGTGAGATCCCACATTGGTTGGAAAGGGGAACGAAACATTACTTCTAAGGGTGTGAAAATCTCTCTCTAGTAGAGCCGGCGGATGGTGAAGATACGTGATGGGTCAAAGCGGACAATATCTACTAGTGGTAGACTTATTTATTTTTTTACTTTCAATGTTGCTGTGATTGGGACTGTTTTCTACCCTCAAGAGTCAATTTTAAATCTAACTTAGGCAATTATTTTTAATAAAGACTATGATTCTGTTTGCCCTTTATTTGTCATGAATAGTCCAATTATATGGCTTAGGTGAAACCAATTTACTTGGGACTGCCACCTACTAGGGACTTGAATCCATGGATTACAACTACTCTGTCATTTACTTCACTGCTTGAATTAGAGGGATTCTTAATTAACTTGAAACCTATAGAATGGAAGCCCCACACATAAGCTCATGCAAGCACATGATATGAACATGTGTTCGTAGTGGTAAGATCTCTAGTATTACTGTAGTACTTCATTTATCTACGCTATAGTTTTACTTTTATGATCATACCCCAGTCACTTGTATAGTGATCGGAGGGAATTGAAACAAGAAGAAGATTGGAATTTGTAGGTCCTGCCCGTGTTTGCCAGTGTTTAGAGTACTCATACCATTTGAGACAAGTTAAAACGTAGGTTTAGGAGTCCAAACTTGATGCTGGCCAGCTTATTACTTAAAAATACCCATTAGAGATCTCTCAAATCTCTCCATTTAACACATTCTTTCCTTCACTAGCAATTAGCAGTGCAATAACACCAAAAGAGGGAAAAAAGTGCACTTCCTTACAAGTGTCAACAGCTGGACTTCCCCAAGTGGGTTGGGGCTCATCAATCCTGGCCAACTTTGGAGGCTGTTCATTTAGTGGAATACCCTTCATTTAGAGCCTTGGTAGTAGTAGTGGTAGTAGTAGTAAATAGGGGGATGCAAATGAGCTAAGAATGCACCAACTTGGAACATGCATCAGGACTGCAGTGAACCACTATTAGTACCTCTGAGTGAGTGATGAGCCCCTCTTGCGGTGTCACTAATCTCTGTGTCTCATCATTTTTGCTGCTCTAACCATTAAACTCTCTCTTTCCTTCACACCACAACTTATAATGCAATACCTTAAAAAGTATTTAAGTACTTTGTTCTTTTTACCATATGGAATGAGAATTAATAGGTGCTTTAAGCTCCTTTATCGATGATTTTTGTTTTTAAGAGTTTATTGATTACAAAGATCGAGAATCAAACTATGAGTTCTTGAATGTAATTCGTGTCTTACTGAACTATACTTAAATTGGCTTTTCTTTATGAGTTCTTGAATGTAATTGATGTCTTACCCACTGAACTATGCTTGAATTGACTTTTCTTTTCTGTTTTAGGAATCGAGCTTGTGAGACAATCTGAGCATAGTTCAATTGGACATAGAAGTTTAAATCTTCTTCCTCGGCATATTCTTTAAAAAAAAATGAAAGAAATAAAGTGGTGAGCTTTACCCGTCCTTTCTTATATATAATGCACTAAAACAAATATTATCAACTATAAGATTGTCTTCTTTTAAAATAATTTTTTATTTATTTATTAATATTTACTTAGTCCTCGGTTCTAAGAGTGAAGACTATTCCTGCAACACAAAAGTCCATCCAGTATGTTTTGTCTTCACTCACATACATCCTAAGAAATTTTTCACGAGGTCACCCAACATAGGATTGATCCAAACAAAACACGCTTGGTTCTATTATTGAGCCATAAAAAAGAAATGTGCACTTTGTTAGTATAGGTAATAACTTTAAATTCTTTTAAGGTTTTCTTAGTCATTCTATTCTCATGATCGTTCTCATTCGGATGTAGTTTCGGTTTATTCACGTACACTTCATTTTGAAAAAAACGAGCCTAAGTTTCAAAAATAAATAACTAAAAATTAAAACTATTATCAAACAAGACAAAAATGAGTTAAAACTATCGAAAATTTGGTGCAAAAAGCATAATCTTAATTTTATTTTTGTGTAAAGAAGAAAAGAATGACAGTCCCTTCATGGGATTCATGGAACTGTACTTTGCTGATGAACTTGGCATTGAGAGTTTCCATTGGCTGTTCAAACAGTTACCATTGAGAGTAAACTTATTAATGTGATGAGGTAAGCTGTAGATTTAGAAAGGTATGGAAGCAGAGACCATTTTGATTACTCATTAAATGAAACACAATGGCAGTTGAGTTGTTCCCTGGCTGTTATGCCCAAACTTTCTCATGCATTACAAAGCCATTCCTTTTCTTTTAAGGGCCCCCCCCTACCTCATGTGACATGCCCTTAACAACGTCTCAAAACTCGCCTTTTCGCTCACTTGTTTCCTTCTATATAATGAGCTTCATCTCTTTCGTTTCTTCCTACATTCCCCCCCGAACCTCACAGCTTCTACTCCGTCTCGGGAGAGTTGGTTTCGGGTTGGATTTTGAATTGTCCTTTCACCATGAGGAATCCTCCTCTCTTTGGGAGGACACCCTTGTTATGCTTTTTCTTGATATCCTTTGTTTTTGCTGCAACATCGTGCTATGCCGTCGAGGTTATCGGCATAAGCAAATGTACCGATTGCCACGAGAGGAACATAAAAACTAACCATGCCTTATCGGGTACGTGTCGTTTTCTGTTTTAGTCCTTAATTTGGTATTAAAAACGCTTAAACGTCGTTGTCGTTGATCACTTTGTAGGACTCAAAGTAGCCATAGATTGTAAATCAAGTGATGGGCAATTCAAAACAAGAGGAATTGGTGAGATGAATGAAGAAGGAAAGTTCAATGTGTTGCTGTCTAATGCCATTGTGGAAGATGGAATGCTTAAGGAAGAATGCTATGCGCAGGTTTATAGTGCATCAGCCGCCCCTTGCCGCCCTGCCCATGATGGCCTCCAGCGCCCCACGGTGGCTGTGGTGCCCAAATCAGCTGGGAAGCAGCAGACCTTTGGGCTGACTGGTGAGCTCATGTTTTCATCAGCGACGTGTGCATCGGCTTTCTTTTGGCCCTTCCACAAGCACCCTAATCACTTTCCTTTGCCACTCCCTCTTGCACCTAAGTTTCACCACCATTTCTTCCCTCCATTGCCTCCTAAAGCGTTTCCTCCCGTGCCTATCTATGAAAAGCCGACTCCACCGTCTATCCCGGTTTATGTAAACCCTCTTCCTCCACCGGTTCCGGTCTATGGAAAACCCTTTCCACCGGTTGTTCCTGTTTATGTCAAGCCTCTTCCTCCACCCGCACCGGTCTATGAAAAGCCACTTCCACCACCTGTTCCTGTTTATGAAAAGCCACTTCCTCCACCGACGCCGGTCTATGAAAAACCACTTCCACCACCGGTTCCCATATATAAAAATTCTCCTCCTCCGCCGGTTCCCATTTACCATAAACCTAAGCCTCCATCAGTGCCAGTATACAAGAAGCCACATCCACCGCCGGTTCCCATTTACCATAAACCTAAGCCTCCACCAGTGCCAGTATACAAGAAGCCACATCCACCACCGGTTCCCATTTACAAGAAACCTAAACCTCCACCAGTGCCAGTATACAAAAAACCCCTTCCTCCACCGGTTCCCATCTACCATAAACCCAAGCCTCCGCCGGTTCCCATCTACCATAAACCCAAGCCACCGCCGGTTCCCATCTACCATAAACCCAAGCCTCCGCCGGTTCCCATCTACCATAAACCCAAGCCACCGCCGGTTCCCATCTACCATAAACCCAAGCCTCCGCCGGTTCCCATCTACCATAAACCCAAGCCTCCGCCGGTTCCCATCTACCATAAACCCAAGCCTCCGCCGGTTCCCATCTACCATAAACCCAAGCCTCGGCCAGCGCCGGTATACAATAACCCTCTTCCACCGCCCGTCCCTATTTATGAAAAGCCCCTTCCGCCACCGGTTCCTGTCTATGAAAAACCCCTTCCGCCACCGGTTCCTGTCTATGAAAAACCCCTTCCGCCACCGGTTCCTGTCTATGAAAAACCCCTTCCACCACCGGTTCCTGTCTATGAAAAACCCCTTCCACCACCGGTTCCAATATATGTGAACCCACTCCCACCGCATAATCCATTTTTTAAGCCAAAACATCCCTTGTTCAAGCATCATCTGCCTCCCATTCCAGAGATGCCCCATCATCCATTTTTGAAGAAGCCATGGCCACCTATCCCTCACTTCCCTCCGGCTCCCATGTTCCCACCCTAAAATCCACCCTCTGCTTCTCAGTCTTGCTTTTCGTAATAAGCAATGAACATGGTAATGTGCAGTGGAAGTTTAGTAACTTTCAGCTGCTGCTAATAAAAGCTTCGATTTCTGGCATTACCATCGAATCCAATCGAATCAGAAGGAACAGATAGAAGCAGGATTGAACAGTTTTTTATTTTGTTTTTATATTTGAAGTTAAGATCTGTGTGAATTGTTCATGGCTGTTGTTTCACGATTCAGATCGTGATTCTGTAAATGCCTATGAACAATTTTTCGTTTACAAAAATTGCATTCTTGTTTGTTGTGCTTGTTTATCCCAGGCATCTCAATTCTTCCCTACTTCTTTATTAATTGTAATGGCACAAGTCCACCGGTAGGTTTTGGCCCATTACGTATTGCCGTCAGCTTCACGGTTTTAAAACACGTCTAGGAGAAATTTTTACATCCTTATAAAGAATGCTTCGTTCCTCCGTTTTCCCCTCCAACCAATGTGGGACCTCACAATCCACCTCTCTTGGGGCCCAACGTCATCGCTGGCACACCACCTGATGTCTGACTTTGATACCATTTGTAACAGCCTAAGCCCATCCCTAAAATATATTGTCTGTTTTGGCCCATTACATATCGTCATTAACCTCACAATTTTAAAACATGTCTGCTAGAAAGAGAGTTTCAACTCCTTATAACAATTTTAAAACATGTCTGCTAGAAAGAGAGTTTCAACTCCTTATAAGGAATGTTTCACTCCTCTACTCAAATGATGCGAGACCTCACAATCCACTCCTTTGGGGTCATTGATTTCTAACACACTGCTTACAATTATTCTTAATACTCTTTTGATATTCTTTATTTATTTTTAAATTTAATCATTAAAAAATAATAAAAATCAAAATAATCATTAAAAAAAATAATAACAAAAGAAAAATAAATTATTGATATAGATTAATATATATTTTTTCGACTAGAAATCAACCTGTACAAATTATTTTTAAGATTTATTGAAAATATAAATACTAAAATTCGACATTTAAAATATATATACTAAGAGGAAAATAAATTCTAATTATTGAAACTAAAATGATATTTTAATTATAATTGCATTGAAACTCCAAACTTTAATTAAAATTATCCTTATTTTTAACTATTTTCATTTGACTTTATTTAAAGTCAACTTTTAAGTCATATAGTCAAATTTTTGGGTTTTATAAAAGAAATTTCTGTAATAATGAAAATTCATTAGATTTCAATACGTCCTCTTGGCATGTTATATTAATTATTGTAATTTAATTAAAAATCGAATGAAATTTTAATGAAGATTTTAAATTGATTCATTTTAATTTTAGGAAATCAAAAATTGATTTTTACTCTTAAAGAAAATCACATAATATTTTTTAGAAAACCTAAAAATGTTGTCATCTCTGTGTGAACTGAAGGAGCTTAGCCAGCAAAATGCGTGTAAGCAGTGTAAGAAATCGCTAGCAGAACTCTCTTACCATGCAAATCTGTCATTCTGAATCCTTGGCTGGAATGTTATGGTCAATTGCTACATTTTCTGCGGAGTTCGAGGAATTGAAGTCAGGCATTTTTTTGCCCTAATGTTCAATATGAAATTCTCGATTCCTTCCACGATGAAAGGTTTTTTTCCGATATCATTACTTTTTCTGTTGTATTATCTTTCTGGATCGCTCTGATTAGAACGTGTTTGAGGGAGAATTTGCCTTTCAGTTTCAGATGAGAGCTTAAAAGTAGTCAATAGGCGTCACTGGGCTTTAGATTTGGGGTGAACTTTTGATGAAATATCATCATACACGTGTAGAGAGTTACCAAATGTTATGCATTGTCGTCAATATTCGGTAGCTTTATCATTAAATTTAAGAAGTGGAATCCGTAGAAGAATCTGATGGAGGCTGATAATGTTTAGAAATAAATGTTCAAGAGATACAAACTGCCAACATGAGTGAATGCTAAAGTAAGAAAATACAAAATTAGGAACTTAGAAATGATTACAATCTTCTTCCTCAAGCACAATAATGAAAACCAACGATCTTGGGAGGTTGGCTGCTTAGAGACCCCAAAAATCTTTAACTAATGCTGTCTTGATACCCAAAGTAAAATTAAAAAAACAGAGTGAGTGTTCAACGAAAGAGGATCATTGATGCTTCTAAAACTAGAGTGAATGTTATATGAAATAAGACTTATTCCAAGAAAACCTGTTGAGATTCAAACCAACTAATAAAATGATGGCTTAAACAACCCAACACCTTGATGAGAAAGAACCATAAATGCCCCACAATTCTTCGAAGAAAACTACCTCGAAAGAGACTAAAAATGCTTCTCCCAAAAGAAAAGAAGTATTTTCTATGATTGAAATGAAAAAATGAAGAAAAGAAGTATTGTCACTATTACAAAAAGTTGAGAGGAGACAATTTATCTTACAAGATTCTTATATTTTGTTCTTCCAAATGTACCATAGGAGAGCTTTAGTTACACAATTCTATTGGATCTTAGTAGTTTCTTTCAAACTCCAGCCTTTAAAGCCTTGAGAAAGCTAGTTATCCCACGCATTTAGGTTATGTAACTTGGTAGGTTAAATGATTTCAAAATGAAGGATCGCCTTATGTATGTAAAAGATTGTGTTTGTGGAAATTATGGAGTAACAGTAACAGATTCTCTTTCCTTATAAAACAAACAATATACAGAAGGGACGAGGGCCAAATTGGGTTACTTTCTCAAAAGCTTCTCGTTGAGTATTGAGTTACCAAATGGATAAGTTGGATAGAGTGATGAAAGAGTTGAAATGCATTATATGTCGATCTGTGGTACGATGGCAAAGTTGCAAGCATAAGTAGGAAACACTTGCTTTAGGTGTAGTCGATGTTGAGCGATGAGTTTGGGTGCATGTCCAAGACAACATATGATGGAAGTTAAGAGACGTTTGATTATAGGTCGAGCCCCGCCTAAGGTCTGACAAAGCAAAAAGACTCGCAAAAAGAATGTTATGGGCTAGAAATAGCCTTCAAACTAGCCATGATTGTAGTAAGATTATGGTGTCATTGGTTTGAAAATGTATGCTTTGGTCTTCCTTCATAGGTGTACCCCTCAAAATCTTTGGAGGACTTATCTATAGTCCAAATCATTAAAAGAGGTGATGGTCTACTTGAGGTGGTAGACACGAAGGTGGAAGTGGGGATTGAGCTAGCTTTTGATATGATTAAACTGTGTTACTAATAAAAGAGAGAGCTAATGATCAATGATCAAGCGTAGAAAGAGGTGTGCAGAGAACGTTTGGCAAATTCCTGAGAGTTAGTCCGGTTAGTGGTAATATGGAGAGAAGTTTTTTTTTTTTTTTTTTTTTTTTTTTTTTTTTTTTTTTTTTTTTTTT